TGAACGCTGGAGCAGTGAATCGAGGGCAGAAACGCGGCGCCTGCGCTTGCGTCGACGTGGGCGCTTCGAGGATGGCGGATGCGCTTGGCCGGCGTCGCAACAAAGATGGGCTCTCCAGCGCCGGCAGATGCAGGTCCTGGCGGGAGATTGCAGCGTCAGAAGACACGGCGGCACGACAACAGCGGCGACGAGGGGCACGCAGCGACTGGGCGACCGAACGCGCCGCCGTCGACAGCTGCCTGAGGGCTGGCCGTCGTGAGAGGCACGGGCCACCAGTGAAGCTTGCAAGGTGATTTGTTGGAGGCGCCCAGCACTCTGACGCTGTCAGCCGTTGCGCGCTCTCGACCCGCCTTCCACGCTGCAGTAACTTTCAATGCGCATGGATCATTACGTAGCGTTCCGGAGAGACACCGTCGACCGTGTTTCATGTCACACGAGCACGTGGCGGTGCACTCGTGACAGCCACACCAACAGAGCGAACCACGGCTACCGCCTCGCAGTACCCAGGTGAGCACCAGCCGAGGCCGGGGTTGCGGTGCGGTGCGTCAGGGCTGAAGCTATCGTCTACCGTTAGTCAGGAACTGAGCGGAACATGCCATCCATCGGCGCATCCGTACGACCATCCACGTAGCCATCCTACTACCCAGGGAGCCACCTTTCCTCGTATCAACAATTTCAGACTCAGCTCCTTCTGCGATCTCCGCCAAACTTACCCGTCGAGTACACCGCTTCAACGGTGTAGACACATTTTTCTGGTTTCCATGTCTCCTTCTACTAATCCGTGGTGGGGCAGCGGCTACTTGCCTAGGTAGGTAGCAAGCAGGGTCAGCCTCCTCACGTAGGCCGTAAAGCGCGACATGTACACCCACCAGGAGCACCATCATCAAGAGCAGGAACTGTTCTCCTGAACATCTCCAATTCTTGACGTGGGTCAAGATGGCAATTTGTCAGCGTCTCAACTCTGCCATAGGAGTGCCTCGAGCGGGGCGTGTTCTTCGTTCCCGGCATCGTGAAGCTTGCCATTCCCTCGCAGGCACCTTCAGAAGCTGGGGGTCGGCGTCCGAGGAGCCCGCACACCATCGCAGCATTTCAAGCACTAGAGCCTCCCCGCACATCCATGTCCTGGGCCTGGGAAGTGTAGGCACTTTCACAGCTCACTCGCTTGCCGAGATACCCGCAAGGCCAGTAGTAAACCTGCTGCTACATCGTCCTTCTCTCATGAACGAGTACCTAAGAAACGGGAAGAGACTTCTACTGCAGACGTGCGAGGGCCAACAGATTGCCCGAACGGGTTATGACGTGGAAGTATTGTACGGAAAAGAATGGCACACGGTGCAAGAGCTGTGCATAGCTGGGAATGCTGAGGTACTACAGCTACCAGGACCCCCAACTGACGAAACTATCAACGATCTTGTCGTATGCGTCAAGTCTACGCAGACTGTGGCAGCCCTCCGACCTCTTCTACCCCGACTCTCGCGCACGTCAAATGTCACATTCCTGCAGAACGGAGCAGGCATGATAGAAGACGCAAATATGTTCTTGTGGCCTGATCCACACACGCGACCAAATTATATTACGGGTGTCATCTCCCATGGTATCACTCTGAACGGGCCCTTTGATGTCACCCACACAGGGCCAGCAGCAACATCGGTAGGCCCCGTCCCGCGAGAAGATGGCGATATATCACAAGCACCTTCGCCTCTCCTGGAACTCCTACCTCTTGCACCTCGCCTGAACTGTCGGTCTTACCCATGGCCCACCATACTCCAGATACAACTAGAAAAGCTTGCCTGTAACGCTCTCAGCAACCCTATCTGCGCGCTCGAAGATGCCGTAACCGCATACATATTAAGCATCCCAGAAACCAATACGAGGCTCATGCAAGAGATCTCGTCTGTCATCCTCGCTTTACCAGAACTACAGGGCGTAGAGGGAGTAAAGGAAAGGTTTTCAGCGAAAGCCTTGCATGCTACTGTTATGGATATAATCGAGAAGAACAGAGCGACGACCGTTAGCATGGTATGGGATATGAGGCATAGGAGAGAGACGGAAATCAGATACATCAATGGATACTGGGCAAGGCGAGGACGGGAAGTGGGTGTGAGAACGCCGCTGAACGACGAGTTGGTAGAGAGGGTGCAGGCGATGACGAAAGACAGACTGCGAGAGCCAAAGTTGTGATACGAGCATTCGGTTGCATGCTTAGAAAAGCTTTGACGTTGACCATTTTTCGCATTTGCTGCCACGCAGGTGATGATGCATAGTTACTAAGAACATGTTGGCAAAGTGGTTCCGCTACCATAGAATTCCCACGAAGCTAAGGATGCGCCCCACTTCCAGATGTCTCGACTTCTTCACCCATATCGATCGCGTGTTTGATGCGAGACAGTTCCATTGTGGATTGGTCTTGTTGCGAAGAATGTCGTCGTCAAGGAGACTTCGAGCTGCGAGTGCACGCATCCGGTAGCAACACTATGCCGCAGACTTGGTAGCTCACGCCACCTGGGCTGACAAACGGCGTGGTATGCTGCGCGTCGCGTTACTATGGTGCAGCATCCCACATGCATCCCCGATGCGCTCGCACGAGACAGGCCCAACAATGGCGCTGGCCGGTAAAGACCGGACATGACCTCATTGCTGTAAACTTCGCGGACCCTTAAAGGTAGCTGCGCCCAACAGCCTGCCACCACCACATCAAACTACTTTCTTAGCATCCAAAGCTTCATCTCTCTGACAGCTTGGCAACATGGCGCAAGATCTACGATCGCAGGACATCAAAAACCCGATTGACGTCGCAGAGGTAAGTCATGGGCTGTACACGCGTGTGAAAGCGCGCTAGCTGACAAGGGCAGTACCTGTTCCGTCGACTTCAGCAAGTCGGCGTTGAGTCCGTCCATGGCGTTCCAGGAGACTACAACCTCGTCGCACTCGACTACATCCCCAAAGTCGGCCTGAAATGGGTCGGCAACTGCAATGAGCTGAATGCTGGTACGTGGAGCTTGTTCTTGCGTTCGGGCTATCAGCGGCTCGCTTGCGGGAGCGACCGAAGTCGATCCGTCTGTCTCATGCGATAGGTGCTGACGATCATTACAGGTTACGCCGCAGACGGCTACGCAAGAGTCAAGGGCATTTCTGCATTGGTAACGACCTTCGGCGTGGGTGAATTGTCCGCTGTCAATGCCATCGCCGGAGCCTACTCGGAATACGTCCCAATCGTCCACATCGTCGGCTACCCATCGACTGTATCTCAGAGAAACGGAGCGCTGCTGCACCACACTCTTGGAAATGGCGACTTTACGGTCTTCTCGCGCATGTCCAAGGAGATCTCGTGTGCTGTCTCGATGCTCAACAGCCAGCACGAAGCGGCCATGCTGATCGACAACGCCATTCGGGAATGTTACCTGAAGTCGAGGCCCGTCTACATCTCCTTGCCTAGCGACATGGTAACGAAGAAGGTCGACGGCGATCGCCTCAACACTCCGCTTGATCTGGAATACCCGCAAAACGATCAAGAAGCCGAAGACTACGTCGTTGACGTAGTACTGAAGTATCTGCACGCGGCAAAGAACCCCGTCATTCTTGTGGATGCATGCGCTATCCGCCACCGAGCACTGAAGGAGACTCACGAGCTCATTAGGAAATCTGGAATACCCACTTTCGTCGCCCCAATGGGAAAGGGTGCGGTAGACGAGACTCTGCCGAACTACGGTGGTGTTTACGCCGGAGACGGTTCAAACGCTGGCGTGCGTGAACGCGTCGAGTCGTCCGACCTCGTGCTCAGCATTGGTGCTATCAAATCCGATTTCAACACTGCAGGCTTCACCATCCGCATGTCACAGCTCACGACTATCGACCTGCACAGCTACGGATGCAAAGTACGATACTCGGAATACCCTGGTGTTAGAATGAACGGCGTGCTTTCCAAAGTCACAGCCAAGCTTGGAAAGCTGAACATCGAATCTGGACCTAATCCGAACAACAACGTCCCGGACCAGGAGACTTCATCGACAGAACCAACTATCAAACACGCCTGGTTCTGGCCAAAGCTTGGTCAGTGGTTGAAGAAGGATGATGTCCTCATCACCGAGACTGGTACCTCCAACTTCGGCATCTGGGAAACCCGCTTCCCAGCTGGCGTCAACGCCATCTCACAAGTTCTCTGGGGCTCGATCGGCTACGCAACCGGTTCCTGTCAAGGCGCTGCCCTTGCCGCGAAAGAGTCAAACATCAAGCGCACCATCCTTTTCACAGGTGACGGCTCCTTCCAACTTACCGCTCAAGAAGTCTCCACTATGATCCGCAACAAGCTGGCTCCCATCATCTTCGTCATCTGCAACAAGGGCTACACGATCGAGCGACTCATTCACGGATGGGAAGATTCCTACAACGACGTCCAGGAATGGAAGTACAAGGACATTCCCCGTGTCTTCGGCGCTGAAGAAGGCAGTGTACTCACATACAGAGTGGAGACTAAGGAGGAGGTTGAGAAGCTGTTCCAAGATGAAGAGTTTAGCAGTGGCGAGACGCAGAAGATGCGGTTTGTTGAGTTGGTCATGCCATGGGACGATGCCCCGGCGGCTTTGAAGGCAGTTGCTGCTGCGGCAGCTAAGACAAATGCTAGTGCGGAGTAGACAATGGATCGAAGGAGTGACAGGTAATTGATGATGTATCAGCAAGGCGGAGTTAATAGGGTATGGCATTACGTAGGATTCTCTTCTCTTATACGAATGATGACTATACAACTCTTTCTTCTCTCTATCTACCTAGGCTTATACCGTCTCGAAGCAGGCCTCCAATACCCCTGGTGAGTGGAAAAGAACCGACTTTTCTTCTGAGCCTCTGTCGGCTGATATCCCTCTTTCTCAGGAGCATCTGGAAGCTCACCATCCAGACCATTCACAGCCATATACTCACTGCACTCAGCTTTAATCCCAGCACACTTGGAACAGTTGTTGAACCACTCATGGTTCCACCACCCACACAAGCATCGCCAGTCGCCGTCATACTTTGGCCCACGCCGCTGCTCATCCGTACCCGGACCGGATTCTTGCACGCGGACGATGTGGTCGCCCTGCCGGAAGCCTTCACACGCAGGGCCTTCCTTATGACCAATCTTACCACGGCAGGCCCACCAGTACTTGTTGTTCCAGAAGCTGCAACGGCAGAGCCAGTCACCTGCTCTCGGCTTATGTGGGCCGGGACCGCGGGATGCTCCCCTGAAGACAGGCTTTTCATCCCGTGCTGCATTAGCAGCGAGCTTTTTCTCCGCTACAGCGGCAGGACAGGGCTTTCTGGGGTGGTAGTCGCTACTCGCACACGATACGTGGCACCCCGGATCGGGGTTCGGGTTGAGATAGGCTGTGACGGGGCCTGGCAAGGTGGGTGCAGTCGGAGCTGCAGTTGGTACGACTCGGGGTACCTTACGGCTGGTGGCGGATTGGTCTATAGATATATTAGTTCACCATGTCTATCAATAAGACCATTGATCAGAGAAACGTACCAAGCTGGGAGGTGTCTTCCTCCGCTTTCCTCTTCCGCTCACTCCTCGCCTTCTCCTCCTCTTCCTCTTTCTTCTTCCTCTCCTCTTCCTCTTGTTGTTGCTGCTGCTGCTTCTGCCAATTTTCAAATGTGGCATCCAGGCTCGCCGAACTCGCTTCGCTGCTCAAGTATGAGCGACAAAGGATGTCAAGGTAGCACGCCACTTCTGGATCAGCAGCGGCCTTTTTGCGCATCCCGCGCACCTCCTCACCAAGCTCTTTCATTTTGCCCGCAGGCAGGTTCTTCGCCTTTTCCAGCAGCGTGTTGAGGTAGTTGCCTTTTACGGCAGGCGCCGGGGTTTCATTTGCGGAAGGCATTGTGATGTATGTATGAGAGAAGAAGAATTAAACGCGTGTGATGAGAGGAGAGACTGGAGCAAAGTATGGAGGATGCGACGCTGAAGATTTTTTGAGGTGAGCGTTTGTTGTGTGTTGACACTATTCCACTGTCACTCGCGGTGAGGAGCGCCTCCTCACCGCAACGCGTCACCGTGCAATTTCACTTTCACCTCTAGAAAGACGCGAGCAAGTCCAGGGCTCTGACCTTAGGTTCATGCAATATAATACACAACCACTGCTACGTCAATACGCCGTACTTATCCTGGAGTCTCCGCATCACCATCCAGTGAACTAGATCCCGCGCCGCAGTTGCATCTTCCAAGCTATCATGACCTTTATTGCCTTTGGTCTGAATGTCCGTGTCCAGGTATTTCTTTAGCAGTGTCTTCAACGCCAGATCACCCGTGCCCTTTTTCTTCTTCTTCTTGGGCTCACCCTCAATGGGGTTGGTCGAGTCGCCCAGTGTCTGCGCATCGGTCGCTGGGGTGAGCATGCTACTCGTCGCTAGTCCTGTGACCTCCAGAAGACACTCCTCCACCCTTCTTGCTGCCTCTTCACTAAGCTCTTTTTCTCTGGCTTCGACTGCCTTCTTCTCCTGAATGATCTTGTGCTCTACGACGTAGGAGTCTACGACCTTTGTGTGTATCCACTTCAGCGCCTTGAGGTCATTGTGAACGCTGTGTCCAACAAGAATAGTGTCTGGACCGACGAACTTCCACAACAGTTTTCTCGCCCCAGTCTAAAATTGGTGTACAAAGTCAGTACATGTCTTCCCTCAGCTTGTTCACGTAGTGACTTGCCTTTCCCTTCAGCGTGGTCTTCTCTCTTACGGCTTCGTTCATTTGATCCCACGTAACGCCCGACCACTTTGTGTTGAGATGTTGCATTGGTTGATCAGGCTTGACAAGGTTGTTAATGAGCACTTCTCCGGTTAAGTAATCGATGGCGCTCAGGCGAATGAGCTCAGAGTCTCCACTCCTGGCTGTTCCCATCTTCAGAATAGGAGTGAGAAGTCAGCATGTCTCGCACACATTCTGTAGAGCTAGAACATACCTCGCAATCGATTGCTACGGCAAATTTGGCGTTCATCCTGCGGTCCGCATCCCAATGACGAAAAGGTGGAGTCGGTTGGAATTGATGTAAGCGTTCGAGCTCACCTGGTCGATATTCGCGTATCCTGTGCTTGTCGGAAGTCCTACATGGCTGGGCCTCCGAGACGTGTTTCCCGCAACACAACCAGCACTAACAAGATTAGTTGGGTTAGACAACGTCGAGTCAGCCTGCGCTCACCTTTGTCGCGCGGTCGACTGGCGCTGAGTGGTGGAGACACTCTACTGTGCAATACTGAATTCCAGAGCTACCGTTCTCGTATGGTACGATCATACTTGGCAATGTCTTGTAGGGTGTGTCAGGTGGATGTGAGAGAAGCTGTTGACTACGGCGCGTTATGGCCTGTTGCAGACCCTTGCTGAGCTGTTGGATAGCTATCAGGAGTTTAGCAATACTCTCAAAGCCAATGTGCACAGTCCAGGCACTGAGCTTGTACTAACTTTGATTGCATTTACTGCATCTTCGTTTCAGATGAATCTCCTCGTCTGTCAACTGTGCGAAGTTGTAGCCATGTTTTCGCAGAGCATGTGTGGGTTCTAGTAGGCTTAGAAACTCTCGTATGTAGTAATCCCCGGGCGGTAGTTCGAGTATTGAAGGTGCTTGGCCCTCGCATGCTTCGGGTGGAGGGGGGTATGGGACGACATCGCTGGGTTGGGTTGGTTCCCTTGCTCCAGTGTTCATGATCCGAGAAAAGTCTAGAAATCGGCTTCTTGTGAAAGTGTTTGACTCAGGTTGATGTGAAAGATGCTGAGACGGGAGTAGTCCAGGTTTCGATACTAGGACGCGTTGTTTGTCTGCTCAGATGAACCTAATGCTTTCCTCTAAGGCTACAGTCCAAGTGACATGCAGGGTAGCTACCGGTGTTTGGAATGTATTGTCGGAGAGTCTTGCGAGGAGTGGCAGACAAAAATGGTGACAACGGTGGTGATACCGAAGAGTCTACGTGATGGAAAAGTGGGGGAAGCGGAACCGGGATGGCGCGTCGACAAGGGTAAGTGCGCTAGCATCGTGTCGCGTCTTCCAACAACGCCGCCAGGTGCATTCACCAACAGGGTCATAACTACATGCTCGCTCCATTCTACAGATCCTTGGGGAATGGGTGGAAACAGGCGCCAACGTTATGTAAGATGTTCGAAACTGCGCCGTGTTTTATCCCGACACGGCAGGTAGGGGCTCCGCCACCTGGGCAGCCAGCTGGATCCAGCTACTCATTGTAGTCTCCAACCCGCGCTGATATGCATGACGTCATGTGCCGCCGGTAGATGGTAAATCAGCCTAATTCAGTTGATATCCTATCAACTACATACCGTCGCAGCCTCGGTAGCGCTGTACAACAGTATAACTTCCCAAGTCATGCAGAAACGTCGAAGCCTCATAGACAACCGCCCAGATAGTGCGCAAACATGGCTAAACCCACAGCATTCAACGTCCTCGTTTTCAGCAAGACCACAGGCTACCGCCATGACTCTATCCCAGCTGGTATCCGCATGTTCCACAAGTTAGCCAGCGATACGAACCTCTTCAAAATCACAGCCACTGAAGACGCCTCCGTGTTTAACTCGTCTTCTCTCACGCAATATCAAGTCATCGTCCTCCTGCAAAACATCGGTAACGACATCTTTATCTCATCCGAACTAGACGCTTTGAGGACCTGGGTGAAGGATGGCGGCGGTATCTTAGCTATCCACGGCGCAGCTGCAGCTATGCAAGGCAACGAGTACTACACGAACTTGGTTGGAGCAAGTTTCGACATGCATCCCGATCCTGAGCCTGGTACTGTCGTTCCTGAAGAGTCTGGCCAGAAACACCAGATCATGAACTGCTGTGGTGGGCGTGAGGGCTGGAAGGACGAATGGTATAACTTCCACACTCATCCAAGAGAGAATAAGAACCTCCAGATCTTGCTCAAAGGTGATCCGAAGACGTTCCAGGGAGGTAAACACGGAGATGACCATCCGTTGGCATGGTGTCAAGAGCTCGAGGGTGGAAGGATATTCTTTACGTCTTTGGGTCATTATGATGATGCGTACGAGGATCCATGGTTTGTTGGACAGGTCGAGAGAGGGCTGCTGTGGGTATCAAGGAGAACGGAGGTTTGAAGTAAGGGCTCTGGAATTGCTCGTGTCTTTCTCGAGGTGAAAGGGGAATTGCAAGTCCTGGTAAAGTGTGGTGAGGGGCTCCTGGCCTCACTTTGGTCTGTTGGAGCGGGGGTTGATGTGGAAGGCTGGAGGATGTTAAATCTTTTTTAATGTTTTCATGTTAAACTACTAGAATGATGTATACACAGAATGCACCTCTACTTGTCACCAACGTACCATATTTAGTCTAATGTATACCTCAAACTCCGAAAAATCGTCGTCTGAGACCGTTGCCATTCCTGTCCCTGCTCCATCGCTTTGAGTCTGGTGGCGGAGTCAACGCGCATGAACATCGTGGACCCAATATCGAGATGCGCGCCATCGTACCTAGGTAGATACATTCGAGTAAAGCCGTACGCCTAATCTAAGATTTGTTTACTCCGCACGCACTTCCCACCGCCGGCTTCACCTTCACTTTTCCATCCCATACAAACGGATGGACATCACCTCGCATTCACTATCTGATCACCGCTGCAGCATTGTTATATCCAAGGTCTTATTTTGATTTGAATCGACTATATGTAATGTTTAATTCTCAAATTCTCCATCAAGCAGTCTGTTATGGTTGTCCACAGCGTAACCATCCTCCTCGCTGCGGGCGAACGTGAAGGCCATTGCCCCGAGTTCGAATCTCGGTAGCAGACATCTGCAGGGAGCCCTTGTGGCCGTTGACGACCCTGTGGAGCTTGATCGTAGGAGCCTTAGAGAGCCAGTTGACGACCTACATCTTTTTTTGCCTTAGCAACGAACATCACCTTTTTGCATCCATCTTTTCACTTTTCCACCAACACACTTAAGCAACTTGCGTTCTTGCTAGGCAGCCCAACACGAAAGAACGTTTGCATCCCTCTTTTGACTTTCACACAACAAGAGCAATATACAATTACAACTCAGTCTTCTCAGCATCAACATTCAAGTCCCAATCAATGCCACCATCTTTGCCATAACGCTGCTCCAGCCATTCGTTGCACTTTCTAAAGTGGCCGTTGTCAAACTACACATCGTTAGCGCTTGAATCATGATATGTCGGACGGCGCTACTTACGAAGCCTCGCGCTGCACTCAGCGGGCTAGGATGTACGCTCTTCAGCACAAGATGCTTGTCAACCGGAATGCCCTTAGTCCTCTGCTGCGCCGGACTGCCCCAGGCCAGAAAGACGACACCATTTGTCCGCACCTTGGCCACAGTATCAATGACCTTCTGCATAAGCAGCTCCCAGCCCTTGCCCGAGTGTGAGTTTGCTTCACTGCGACGGACGGTTAAGCAGGTGTTGATGAGCAGGACACCACGATCCGCCCATGGCGTCAGAAGACCACCCTTGTTCGGGGGTCGCTTGTAGTCTGGGTACTCCTTCTCGAGGGCCTTGTAGATATTCATGAGCGAAGGGGGCGCAGGGTTCGGTGGACGAATGGAGAAGCAGAGACCGTGGGCTTGGTTGGGGCCGTGGTATGGATCTTGGCCTGTGATGACGACCTTGACGGTGTTGAGGGGTGTGTGTCGCGACCTGACCAGTATTAGTCTTCGTTACTCAAGCTGGCACCCGGAAGATATGGGAAACCGTACCAGGAGTACACGTCCTTCATCGGCGGGTATACAGTCTTTCCACTATCCAGCTCCTTCTTCAGGAACCTCTTCAATTCGAGGAATTGGGGTGTCAGCAGCACATCCTTGAGATGCGGCAGCCAGCTCTCGTGTAGCGTGTCGAGCTCAAGTTGTAGCAGCTCTTTCTGCTCGTCTGTGAGTTTGGCGACCCATGCATCTCTATCGAACTTTGCGGCTGCAGCAGACTGCTTGGGTGGTGCATTGGGATTGGGTTTCGGGGCGCCAAAGAAGGCGGTAATGCTGCCGTTCTGCTTGGGCTTTTTGGACGCGTCCGTGGCCGCTGCCGCTGCTTTACGCTTTAGACTCATGGTGGCACTGTCAATCGACGTAGAATATGGGGAAAGCGGAGATGCGTGGAGCAACGAAGATAATAGTAAGGAAACTATGACGAGTCGTAAGAGTATCGCGACGATTGCAAGCATCTCCCAGCCCCAGAGATTCGCGTCGGGGACGTGACGTCGGACACGACCTGTCATTTCCGCCCGAGCACGTTGATTGGCCGCCGCGTGGCACAGCAACACGTGAGTACGCGCGACGCGTTCAAATCACGTGACATGACATCACACCCTGCCCTGACACAGTCCGCAACATGGCACAAGGATGCAAGCAGGCTGCAGTGGCTTCCCCCTCAAGATGACCGTTTTTCCGGCAAATCAGACGTGAGCGGACGTTTGATCGACACTAACATGCCTCGAGGTGGAGACTGAAGCCTGATGCAGGCTCGCATGCAGGCGTGCTGCCCGCATTTGTGACGTGTTGCCTAGGGGAAGCAAACAGGAGCGCGTACAGGTGAGGGGATATAAACAGACCTACTTTGTCTTTGCTTCTTCTCTCATCTTACAACCAATTTGACCCATATTCTCAAACTACAACACTCAATCAGACCTCTATCAAACACAATCATCAATCATGGCTTCTTCCAACCCTTCCAACTTCGCCAACCTCCCCAAGGACAAGCTCAGTGAGATTGCCGCCAAGGGTGGTCATGCCTCTCACGGCTCTGGCAACAGCGAGGTAAGTCGTGCCGGATACCCTCACTCTAATGTGCAGTGACTGACCTTTTGTCAAGTCCATATCCACCGGCAGCAGCGGCAATGCTGACCGTAACCCTGACGGTACCTTCACCAAGGGCTCAGACCTCGCAAAGGAGCTAGGCGCTCAAGGTGGTCATGCTTCCCACAGTGCTACAGACTCCACGTCCAACAGCAGCGAGCCAGGCCGTAACCCAGATGGCACCTTCACCAAGGGCTCAGAGGTCGCCAGCAAGCTTGGTGCTGAGGGCGGCCACGCATCCCACGGTTCTTCCAACGACTCTAGTGCTCAGACTTCCAGCAACGAGAGTGGCGTAAGTTGTCCTAAAGTACGGTCGATGAGTTCGTAGCTAACATATTCCACGCAGCGCAACCCTGACGGCACTTTCAAAAAAGGCAGTGAACTCGCTTCCGAGCTAGGCACACAGGGCGGACATGCCTCCCACTAGAAGCAACACGTAGATGTGCCTACCGATCCTTCAGTCCGACCTTCATGATATGTCCATGAATGACGGCCCAGCGTGGAGGAAGGTACCTGGACATTAGGGTACTATCATGCAGGGTCATAGCCTAATCACGAGATCATGAATGAATGCAGAGAACAATACATGACTCAGTTGTTCATCTCCTAACGTACTACATGTTGTGATGCTTAGGCCTCGAGGGACTCACATGCATCTATAGTGTTTTCTAACCGCTATAGCCCAAGGCGTCTAGTTCCTTCTTGATCTGCTTCTCGGTGCTGATCTTCTTGACCTGGGTGTCCTCTAGTTTCTCTCCGCCGGCTTGACGCATCTTCAGCTCATCGATGGCGCGCATCTTCTTCAACAAACCCCTGATCTTCTTGTCCTGAGGGTTGCCGCCGTCACCAGGGCTGGTGACGGTGAGGTCAGGGGGAGGAACCTGGCTCTCAGTCTGGATCGGGGGAGGAGCCTGAGCCTGAGCTGGAGCCTGCTGACGCTGCTGCGCAGGGTTCTGGCGCTGGTTACCGTCCGGGCGGGCTTGACGGTTTGGGCTGTTGCCAAAGTTGCGGTGCTGGCTGGCGCTTCGTCCTTGCTGCTCATATCCACTCTTGCTGCGACTGCGCTGGCGACGTTCTGGGCTACGTCCAGCTCCGTTGGGTGCGTTGGCACCGTCAGCGCCGAGTCCAGCAGCCTTGTCAGCGGCCTCGCGAGCCTTCTTGGCCTCTCGCTTCTTCTTGTTCTTCAAAGCCGCCTTCGAGAGCTCTCCATCGCCATCTTGAGCGCCGGTAAGACTAACACCGCCGCCGGGAGCAGCGCCCGGTGGAAGGGTCTCAGCAGCTTCTGCTCCTGGTACCTCACGGCGACGCGGCTTGCCAAATCCATTGGCGAAGCCAACGTTCGTGGAGGAGATACCAGTATTGGCATAAGCTGCGCCTCCTTCATCTTCACGCTTAAAGTGTAGCGGTGTAGCGGTTCCGCGCGCTCCGGGGGGACGGTAGGCACCCGCAGGCTTGGACGGTGTCTTCTGGGTGCTGAGGTAGGCGAGCGCAGACGGATGCGGTGCCGGTACGTTGGTCAAGGGGTCGGTCAGAGGGTACATCGAGATTGGCTGAGGGCGCCAGACGACGTGGTAGAGTTCGGCCATGTCCTCGTTGTACATGAGGCCCCCGCTGACGTGGTAGATGCGAACACCGTTGTCAACACGAAGACGCGGGCTCGTAGTAGCCGTAAGAATATGCTGCCCATCCGGACTCCACGCGCAATAGGTCGAGTTGGAGGTCTTGACGTGGCAGACCTTCGCGAAGTTCTTCTCAAGATCGTAGATGTCCATATCTCCAGCTAGATTGCCAAAACCGGCGACGATGACGAAGCGACCGTGGGGACTGAAAAGGATAGTGTTGCGTGGGCCTAGGTCGAAACTGTGTTGTGCGACCGCGCGCTGGTTGAAGATGGTAGTCTTTGCGGGCATGTAGCCATAGGTGACACCGAACTCCTTCGAGTTTGGCGACCAGGAGACGTCGTGAATAGGACCCTCCTTGTCTAGCTGGATGCGCGAATCGAAGGTGCCGTTGGCGCTGAGAATGTACATGTTGGTCTCGCCGTAGTAGCTCTTGTTCGTCTTGTCGACCTCAGTCTGGGCTAGGACAATCAAGCTGGTGCCGAGATCGTTCCACTTCAGTTGGACCTTGTCGCCCTTGAAGAAAGTCTTCTGGGATACCGGCTGGCTGAATTGAGGGACCTGGAAGACCTTGACAGCAGCGGGCATACCCTTGCGCTCCGGAACAAAAACGGCAACTGAATGGTTCTTGCCTGGGGCGAGCGCCATGTCGGTCACTCCCTCCACGCGGAGCTTGTTCCAAGGGTTGCGCA